GCTATTTTCACGATTCGGATGTCATATTATGCTGGCCACACACGTTTGGAGTTAGTCCGGTCGAAAAATGGAATTTCGACCCGGAAGTCAAAAATGACGATTTTGCCCCTCTGGACACCGACGTTGATTCTGAGGCCGTCTGAGGTTATTTTTCGCGGCCGATGTCATTTTGGGGTGGCCACGCGCATTTAGAGTTGTTTCGGTCAAAAATTGGAATTTTGACTCGGAAGTGAAAAATAATATTATTTTATTCCCTAGGACTTTGCAGTCGATTTTCGAAGGCTTAAGAGGCTATTTTCGTGATTCCGACGCCATATTATGTTGGCCACATCTATTTGGGGTTGGGGTAGCCAAAAATTGGAATTTCGCCCCGGGACCGGAAAAATGACCATTTTGCCCCTAGCCTATTTTTGGTCCAAATTTTTAGGAAAATATTTGGGATAAGTAAAGTTAATTATCAGCTGAATTATTGGCCCTATTCACCACTTGTCCCCTCAATTATTTGGATAAAATCAACCGAGACCGTTGGATTAAGGGCATTTTGGTCAAATCTCCCGGATCGGCGACACGTGGTGCCCTTGGCCCACTATATTTGACCGGTCTTACCAGCCCTCTCTCTCTCCTCCCTCATTCAGCCAGAACCTCCACCGAGCAGCCCCCTCCTCCGCCGTTCTCTCTCTCTCTCTCTCTCGGCCATTTTCGCCGGAGCTCAATCGGCCGAGCTGCTGCCGCCGTGACCTCCAGCCCGTCCGTACGTCGCCATACGTCCTTGTCCGTACAGTGTCTGTATGGGGGTGTCCGTACGCCGTCCGTACGGTGTCCGCCGGGAATGCCGCCGCCGGTTCCACTGTTCATCGGTGATCGACCGCCGTTCCTCATCGCCGTGGTCTAGAATTAAGTGAGTATACCTCCTAAACCCGGATTAGGACTGATAGTGAGTTTTTCTGGACTGACTTAGGTATTATCGGTGTATTTTGGACTGGCTTAGGTAGTATCAGTATATATTTCGGACTGGATTGAGGACTGATTGGTGGAAATAAAATTTGAGGAATTTAGTGGGATTGTTATAGATAATTATTGGGCCCAGATTGAGGAAATAGTGGCTGTCCGCATTTTGAGGAACGTACCGGATATTATCGGATAGCCAGAATTGTTAGCTGAATGGCCGGGATGATCCAGAGTGATTGGCTGTTGACTGATTGGTGACTAATTGTGCTTAATTGTGAAATGCCATGTTGCGTGCTCGTGTAGCTGAATCGTGCGGAGTGTGATTGGCCAATTGATGGCTTGAATTGAATATGGAATTGTGTATTAGAAATTTGGGCTGCACGGTACTAATTGGCCAAGTGAGCATGCTATTTATAAATTGGGCACTGTGTGGTGGCTTTGATTTGACTGAGTGCCTGTGGTTTATTGATGCTCATATTGCACTGTGTTGCATTTCATGGTCACGCATTGAGTATGCTGAGAATGAGGCGTGTGACGAAATTGTGCGAGAATGCGTGCCTGACATGAGCATGTGATCACCTAAATGCCCGATGCGTTTTACGCCGAGTTCAGATAAAAAAAAAATTGGCAGTGTGCCGTGTGATCACCTAAGGCCTTCGGGTCGTGCCGTCCTCATGCACTTTGTAGCAGGACGATGCCCGACATGTCCGGAAGACGACCAGCCTCATGCACTTTGTAGCAGGCTTTGGTTCGTAAGGAGATCGGTGTTGCGCCTCATGCACTTTGTAGCAGGCTAGAGACACTGGGCCATATGATGCGTTTTTACGCTGGCCGCGAAGAGTTGTGGGCCTTCAGGTCGGATTAACAATTGTGGGCCTTCGGGTTGTGGCCTTCGGGTCGTAATAATAAATTGAGCATTTGCCAGTGCGTTTGTGTGGGCCAGTGGGCCGGGATATGATTATGGCATAAGGATAGCAGAAGCATGCATAAGAATGCATGGGATCGTATGCGAATGTGCGAGACTCGGTGAATGGTATGGGATTCGAACACTAATGAGCGTGAGCATGTGTATGACGTACGTGTGATTAGCGTGTTCGTGTATGTGAGTTGAGCATTATATTGCAACGCTAACATGCAGGGTCAGCCAGGTAAGTGATCTGGGCCGAAGGCCCGGGTCGGGAAATGATTGTGATTTGGTATTACTATGCTGATTGTTTTATGTCTGTCGGGAGAATGCATGTTAGCCTAGCCTAGGTTTAGGGGTTGAACTCGCTGAGATTCGTCTCACGGTTGTAATAACCCACTTTTCAGACCCCCAGCCGTAAGGATGCTGAATCCACCGCTTTTTGGAATACCTATACAGATACATCAGTATACAAGTACATACCCCGCAGGAAATGGGGAATCGTATGTAAGATACCAATCCGTGGTGTTTGTAAACGTGGGTGAATATTTTCATAAGACTCAGGAGTATGTGGCTTGGTGCTTGAGGGATGCCGACAGAAACCTAGGGCGACCCCTTAGGACTTTTGATGTGCCAATTGGTCAAGGTGGATTGATGGAACCCATATATGCGGATGGCGAGGTGATCAATCCTCAGGATGTCTACGATGTAGATGGCGTTGATGAGCCTATGGATGGGGAGCCATAGGAGCCACAGGTGATAGCTGAAGACCTAGACCAAGATGCCGAGGAAGAAGACGAACTGGAGGACATGGATCTAGATTCTGATGAAGACCATGGGGAAGTAGCAGAGGTAGGATCGGATGTAGAGATAGGACCCGATGATGAGTTAGGGCTTTATCTTGACCCAGAGCTTGAACCGGATACTGAAGACGAAGAAGCAGTAGCAACGGATATGGATTCCGAAGAGTCCGAGCCTTAAGAGAGTTTAGCAGGGGAGTCCTCAGAATCGTCGGATCCGGATTGGGAGCCCTAGTTTAGGTCCCAACTCTTTATAGGGAAGCTAGTACCTTTTTGACTGCGATTTTCCCCGTAGTTGACCCTACCTTTCCCAGCCTTAATACCTTTTTGATCTGGTGGCTGCTAGAAGTTGTTGTCTTTGTTTAAATCTTTTGATCTGTATAAAGTACATTGTAAAAAGGGATTTTACAGTGGGTAATGAAATGTACATTCCTGTTTGTATGTTGTTTTATTTGTGGTCTCATGTAATTATCCGTACGGGTGTATATATATATATATATATATATATATATATATATATATATATATATATATTTATATACGTGGTTTCCGTTTGTGTCTGTTCTCTAATTGGGTTTGGGTCGGCGACGCATCCTGGGAGCGTTGCACCATTAATCGGCCAAGGTAGAGATGTTGCATGCCGTGAGGTTCGGGGCATGACAGCCAGAGTTGCTGCCTCGCCTAACCTCACCTCATCACCATCACCCTTCATCCCGACCCCTGCTTCTCTCTCCTTTTCTCTCCCTCTCCGGCCGCTCGTACATCATCCCCGTACGGCGTCCATACGACCGCCGCGCCAGCCACCGCCACCTCACCGGCCACCGTCCCCCGCCGTCCGTACGGTGTCCATACGGTGTCCGTACCGTCGTCCGTACACCGCCGGCCGCCGTCGCCGCCTCTGAAACGCCGCCGCTGATTTCGCCGTTCACCAGCAATCGGCCGCTCGTTTCACGTCGTCGTGGTCTAGAATTAAGTGAGTGTATTTCCTCAACCCGGATTAGGACTGATAGTGTATTTTCTGGACTGGGTTGAGTATTGTCGGTGTATATTGAAAAAAATTAGAGCACCATTTGATGAGGTATATTACTAGAATAATATTGGTGATTTATTGGGCGAGCATGGTTTAGTTGAGGATTAAGTGACTGGACTGCCGGGTATGCCCGGGCTGAACGACTTGTTGATTGCTGTGCCCAATTGTGGGAATTGACTAATGCCATGTCGTGTGACTGAGTGGCCGACCATTGCGGAGTGTGATTGGCCAATTGATGGCATGAATTTGACTGGATGCCTGAAATTGTTGTTGCTCATGGTGTATTGTACTATATTGCATGGCCACGCATTTCGAATGCCGAGAATGAGGCGTGTAATGAAATTGTGTGACAATGCGTGCCTGTCATGAGCATGTGATCACTAATTATGCCCTGATGCATTTTACGCGGGGTTCAGATAATAATTGGCAGTGTGTGTATGTGTGATCACAATTCGCCCTGATGCGTGTTACGCGGGGTATGCCGTCCTCATGCACTTTGAAGCAGGACGATGCCCGGTTCGTCCGGAAGACGACCATCCTGATGCGTTTTACGCGGGCTCTGGTTCGTAAAGAGATCAGTGTTGCGCCTCATGCACTTTGAAGCAGGCTTGAGACACTGGGCCAGATCGGTGTTGCGCCTCATGCACTTTGAAGCAAGCTAGACGCATCGGGCCGGAAGTGGCGTTGACTCAAGTCGTAATAAATAATTGAGACAGTATGCTGGGTGAATAGAAATGAGAGCATAGCATGACATTGACATTGCATGCATAGAATGCGTGACCCGGCATGCGAAATGAACACTGTAAACATGAGCATGAATGTGGCGCACGTATGACCATTGTATTCGCCCACGTATCTTGAGAATTTTAATGAACTGCCTAACCTGCAGGGTAATTCTTATGTTCCATTCGGGCCCGAGGGCCCAGGTTATTGTTTGCGTATTATGTTGTTTTGCCTGTCAGGAGATTACATGTTAGCCTAACCTAGGTTTAGGGGTTATACTCATTGAGATTCGTCTCACGGTTGTAATAACCCACCTTTTCAGACCCCCGGCCATAAGAATGCCGAATCCGCCGCTTTTTGGAATACCTGTACAGATACATCAGTATACAAGTACATACCCCGCAGGAAATGGGGAATCTTATGTAAGATACCGATCCATGGTGTTTGTAAACGTGGAAGAGTATTTTCATCAGACTCAGGAGTATGTGGCTTGTTGCCTAAGAGATGCCGACGGAAACCTAGGGCAACCCCTTAGGACTTTTGATGCGCCAATCGGTCAAAATGGATTGATGGAACCCATATATGCGGATGCGAGATGATCAATCCTCAGGACGTTTACGATGTAGATGGCGTTGATGAGCCTATGAATGGGGAGCCACAAGAGCCACAGGTGATAGTTGAAGACCAAGACCAAGTTGCCGAGGAAGAAGACGAGCTGGAGGACATGGATCTGGATTCTAATAAAGACCATGGAGAGGTAGCTGAGGTAGGGTCAGACGTGGAGATAGGATCTGACGAAGAGCTAGGAGTGGATGACGATCTCTACCTAGATCCAGAGTTAGAGCAGGACTCTGAAGACGAGCGAGCCCAAGCCGAAGATATGGATTCTGAACCATCCGAGTCTTCAGAGAATCCTTCTGAGGAGCCATTGGATGACACTACTGGATCTTCCAATCCTGAGTGGGAACCCTAGGTTTATTCTGAGCCGTAGCTAGTAGTGAGGGCTAGTAACTTTTTGACTGTAGCCTTCTCTTTGAGTCAGTCTGACCTCCCTAGCCACTTCCCTTTTTGACCCCATGGCATGCTGATCATATAGGTGTGGACTTGTATCTTTTCATGGTTGTGTATGGATGTTTGTAAAGAAGTTTTCAATAGCAATGTAAAGTGCAAGTATGTTTTCATCTATGTTGGTTACTTGTTTGGTTATCCTTGGCTCATGTATATTCAGTCAGGGTTTATTATTTATTACTTTCGCTTGTGCTTTACTCTCTGTTTGGGCGTTGGGTCGGCGACGCTTCCTGGGACGTCGCACACAAACAAAACGACCTTTGAGTGGAATGTTACCGCTTCGTGGGCTACAGGGCGTGACACCTTATGGGTCCGGTCCGGTCCGGTTCCAGGTCAACCCGGACCAACCAATTTTTTTTGTTTTATTTTTTGTATTCATTGAATAGACAAATGTACTTTTTGAAATTTCGGAGCTTATGAAATTAGAATAATAATTTGTTCATGCTTTACTTAACAATCAATAATATATGGCATATCTCATTCTTGAATGAGCCTTTAACTTTGCTAAAGTCGGAGCTACAGAGATAACCAAATTAATTTGTATGAGTCGAATTAAGAACCCATAATGCCACTAGATCCACACATTTATTATCTCTATTTCGAGCATGAGAAGGGAGTTTTGATATTACAGATTCTGACAGGGACCCTAGTTTTCTTTTTTTTTGGTCAAAGATAGGGACCCTAGTTACAACCATCATTTTTTTTATTGTTTTTTCAAATGTTAAGATGTTTGTTCAAATTAATGGTATTCATGTTGAAGCATCAAACACTAACAAAAAGAAATTGTTACCGTGATAGTCGACGAAATGCTAAATGAATGTGGCCATTCAAGTCAATGTTCTCAACCTCTGCTTTTCTTGAAACTAAGTATGGAGGTACTTACCTTTGAGAAGTAGATTGCGTACAATGATCAATCTAAATTGTAGAGATCTTGAAATTTTCGTTGTTGATGATTGGCACTGGCAAAGAACAAATGAGCAGGGAGGGAGAGGGAGAGAGAGAGAGAGAGAGAGAGATTGAGCCACTGAGAGATCGAGAAGAATCTAAGATTGAGGAAGAAAGTGAGAGTGAGACTCAAAGAGAGGAAGAGGAAAAGGGCGAAAGAAGAGGAGGGGCGGGGCACTTTTGGTTATATGGCTAAGGTTTGGAAAATAAAAATTTACAAGGTTGGTCCAACTCGGACCTACCCTAAAGTTTTAGGACCAAGAACGAACCCACACAATGCAGATTCCAACAAACCCAAGAATAGGGACCGACCCAGCCCCCTAAGAATTGGATCAGGATCGACCAGATTGATCCGGTCTAGGGTTAGTCTAGGGTCAACCCTGGATCGGCACACCCCTATCTTGACCTATGGTCGTTGGTGTTGCGCAACCTTCCAAGGTTGACCTGGCTTCTACTCGTCTATGGTTGGTGCTGCGTTGGTGGTGGCTTTGTGGGGTCGGTGTTGTGATAGGCGTGGAGGAGCAAGGTGGGTGGTGTGTGTGGATTGATATGGGAGAGGAAGAGAGGAGGGGAGAGAAGAAAGCTAGGACGTTTTTCTTTTTCTTTTTCTTTTTTTGTTATATGTGTGTTAGTCATGCGCAGTGAAAATTTTGAAATAAACATACCTTTAAAATGTGATTTTGAAGCACTTTATCCAGTGAGAATATCACTTAACCAGAATTTGGGCATGTGCATATAGAGAATTCTAAAGTTGAGGTTAGTGAAAAATGCACCACGATATACCATGTGTCATCCCATGATTAGCACCCATAAGGATATATAATGAACATTGTAATGCCTTCAACTCAACTATATCATGCCATTTCTCCAATGACGATAACTATCACATGAATTTTTATTGAGAAACGACATACAAACAAAAAGAAAGACATACTTAAATAAAAACAATACTAAGGTCAAGCCAATAAAACTGCAGTGCATGGTGTAGTTCAACAGTTAGACCGAGAAAAACTTATATTAAATTTGTTCACAAATAGACTGAATTGAATAAGAATAGTTGCATCGTCATATAAGGTGCATTGTCATATAAGGTACGACGACACTAAGCCTCTTAAAATCACCTACATGACTCACGAGCCCACTTTGACAGATCCTGTTGAAGTGCTATTTCTTCTTTAATATGTCTATGACTTCAAAAATTTTACCCGTGACTATTGTGGAGATCTGTCGTTCATATTAATAGACCCAAAAAATTGAGAAATGCATATATTAAATCCAATTTATTTGTATGTGTGTGTTGTCATGCAAAATACAGACACATTAGATCTCTTGAGCTCATTTATATAACACATGAGTCTACTACAAATTTAGACAAATCACATTGAGGTGTGATTTGCGTTTTAGCATATGAAACCTCAAATATTTACATGTTCTTATTACTAAGAAGATCCGTTGAATACAATTGCTATGCAATAAGCTGTAAATGAATACAGACAGATCCATGGATACACAAGGTGCACAATTGGACGGATGGACTTAATTGACAAAATGTGAATAGGTTTATGACTCAAAATTATAATAGGTCTAGGACTTTTTGGATAATTTTCTCATTTTATCTGCTAACTAGAATCAAGCCACAATCAACTAGTTGTCGCAACTTGTAACAGCCCGAATTTCGATGTAAGTCCGGGATCAATAAAACGGATATTATTCGCATTTCATTTTAGTAAGTCTCGCCCAGAGCTGATCGCTCTCGGAATACTAACCAATGGGGCATGGCTAACTAGAAAGCGGTACGTGGACCGGGGACCCTATCGTGAAACGGATACCGATCGCGAGAGATGCTGAGGGAATATTTTGAACCGATGTGGGCCGATCTTAGGAAAGGTAACGGATTTGGTTTGGCCAAGGCCAACGTTGTACACTCGGATCGCAGGTGAATCTGCATGACCGAAAAGTGCACGTGGCCAATCAGTCCTGAACCTAAACCGAATGATCGTAGCCTCTGGGGCTAGTGATAATTTCTCATTCTCTCAATGATCGAGACCATTACGATACGGGTAGCCCTAGGTCGATACGCGTAATCTCTAAACTGCCGCCCGTTAGTGAGAGACCCTGAAATTGAAAGTTTAGCGGGTTTTGTTTACGGAATTGGGCCCGGATTTCGGTATCGATTTTCGAAGGCTTAAGAGACTATTTTTGGTAATTTGACATCATATTACACTGGCCACACACATGTGGAGTTAGTACGAGTAAAAATTGGAATTTCGGTCCGGGGGTGAAAAATTACGATTTTGCCCCCGGGATGCCAGCGTCACTTTTCGAGGCCAAATGAGGTTATTTTTCGTGGCCGACGCCATTTTTGGGAGGCCACGCACACCAGGAGTCGTTTTGGACAAAAATTGGAATTTCGACAAAAAATTGGAAAAATAATATTATTTTATTCCCGAAACTTTGACGTGGATTTTCGAGGGCTTGCGCGATGAATTTCGCGATTCCGACGCCATACCATGTTGGCCATGCATATATGGAACGCGTATGTGCGAAAATTGGAATTTCCGTTCGGGATCGGAAAATTACGAAAATGCCCCTAGGCCATTTTTGATTAATTCCGAAAATTGGATTTAATTTTGGGATTAACCAAGGTGAGTTAAGGTTAAACCAGGTCTGGTCAACCATGGTTGGGGACAAAAGACCATTTTATCCCTAAATTATTGGATTTGATCAAATCTAGTCCATTTGATCAAGGGTAAAATTGTCAAATGGGCTTAGATAATGACACTTGGACTCCACTAAGACCATCTTTGAGCCATTTGACCAGATCCTCTCTCTCTCCTCCAGCCATTCTGCCGAGACCTCCCTTCTTCCTCTTCTTCTTCATTGTTTCATCTTCTTCGTGGATTGCATTCTGTTCATCCGGTGCTTTGTTCACGCCGGACAGTGCCACGGCGGTCTTGTCCTGCCCAGAGAGCGAGAACCACCACGACTAGTTCCACCTCTGTGCGGCCACCACGGCCCGGTATAGTCCAAAAACAGCTCTCTCTCTCCTTTTTCCCTCTTTTCTCATTTTTCTCGTTTTACAAACAAGATCACCGCGAGCTTCGCCGGAGCTCCGATCGCCGTTCCGTCGACACCCGGCCTCCAAAGCACGTCCATACGTCGCCGTTCGGCCCCCGTCCGTACAGGGGACCGTACGGTTCTTGTTCACGTCCCCGTCACGTTCTTGTTCATCCAGGCACCGCACGGCCGTCGCCGCCGTGACCGGCGCCTCGCCGGCCACTGTTCCCGGCCCGTCCGTACGGTGTCCATACGGGGTAATGCGCATTCACCGTCCGTAAACCGCGCCGCCGTCCGCCGGGCATTCCGCTGCCGGTTTCACTGTTGACCAGTGATCGGCCGCCGTTCCCCGACGTCGTGACTTTGGATTAGGTGAGTAAAATTCCTAAACCCGGATTAGGACTGTTAATGCGTTTTTCTGGACTGGTTTAGATATTATCGGTACAATTTGGACTGGCTTAGATAGTATCAGTGTGCATTTCAGACTGGGTTGAGAATTGACTGGTAGAAATTATTATCGGAAAAATTTAGTGGATTAATGAGAATCGTTGGGGAGGATAATGGGGTTTAATGACCAATTTAGGAGCTCGTTGGTGAAATTGCCGGGTGTACCCGGGTTGATTGATTGTACGTCAATTGTGCTTAATTATGGTTGATTTCGTACTGTTATGTCGTATGTGGTGTGGCTAATTTTGTGGAGTGTGATTGGCCATTGTTTGGTTTGCAATGAATTACTAACTTGTGAATCGCACGTTAGGCCACACGGTATTAATTGGGACAATTAAGCACGTGTTGTGACATTGGGTGTCTGAATTATATTGGTGCTCGTAGTGCATTGCATTGCATAACATGGACACGCATTGCGTATGCCAAGAGTGAGGCATGTGATGAAATTGTGCGAGA